CATTGCGTTATAATAAGAAATAAACACATTTTTTTACATTTCAAGGGAAGATTTAAAACCAAACATACGATTTTCTCTGGCTGATTTGACCCGTCTGCATTGATTTGGTGTGAGGTGCTCAGTGTTGGAGACGCTCACTTTCTCCTGACTGCAGAGGAAACGGCGCCCTGTGGCACCCAAAGCATGTCTTTTTTCAAAATGAACTATTTTTTCTTCAGAACTCCACCTGACAGTCGGATGACTGCAGAAGGAAGTGGTGAGAGGTTAGTGTTAGTTTGCTGCGTGCTTCTTTTTATTGCAGTTCGATAGAAAGGAAATATTTTTGAGTGAACAGCTCAGCTGGGGGTGCTCCCCTTAATGTTTCCATCCCGTCACGAAGCTCTTTCACACTATTAAACTTCTAGAAGCAAGTCCTTCCACTTGGCTGCCATCTTGGTCGGGTATTTTGAAGTTCTTTATCAACGTACGCTTCCCATTAATGTTCGATTTAACCATCAGTGTGGTGTACTGAATGAATCGATTAAGGTGTTCAGTGGCAATGTTAGGTTTCCAGTATTCAGGAAGCAGTAAAAAGTTCACTGACATTAACAGGAATAGATCTGAATAATGTGTGCTTTTTCCACACAGTCCACTGAAACTATAATCTAACTTTTCCATGGCGAGATGAGAGGTCACAAAGTCAGATTCTGGTGAATGAGAGGCATATCTGGCTCTGCCGAATGAATCGCGTCTGTAAGAGTAATGCAGAGGTTATCTACTGAAGGACTAATAACAGTGTGGTGACAGTGGGAGGCTTTTTACAGGGTAATACCACAGGTATGCACTGCTCAGTCAACCCTTTAATGAGTGCATGCATGAAGGTCAAATTCCACTTTGAATCGCTTCTTCTGTCCTGTTCAGCTGTGAATCACAGTTAAGTTCTCCTGAATAACGTGTTTTTTCTTCCTTGTCTTCCCTCTTTAACCTCTACCTCCCACTCTCCTGTCTCTCTTTCACACCCAGGACCCAGCCGGTATCTTTGAGCTGGTCGAACTGGTTGGGAATGGCACCTATGGGCAGGTCTACAAGGTAAGGCAGTGTGCAAAAACAGGCTTTTTTCTTTTCCTTGATGTGAAGTCCCCTGTACTGTGTGGAATTAAATCCATGACAAGAGGCAGTAGCAATGGCGGAGCCATTTTTATTCTTCGTCAGTCACAGCTCTAAAAAGAAACCCTTAGTCTCAACTTGTATGGGCCCTTTGTGTTGCCCCTCGAGTCATCTCTAAACCTGAAAAGACTTTTTAGCTCCTTTCTTTTTAAGCAACCCCCAGGGTAAAACAAGGTTTTCTTCTGATTGGCCAGCTTCTGGAAACCTCCAGAGGGGCAGCACCCAGTGATTTCTGATCTGCTACCCTGCTCACGTTGATTACTATTGAAAAACGAACTTAAAATCCTGAAGCTTTAGATTTGTTTACCCTTATATCTGAAATGACATCATCATGTATGCAATAAGGAAACAGATAATTGTTCGGTTTTAATGTAAATACCAATTGCAAGAATCATTTTCCTGATATTAACAATTCTGCGGCTGTTTTGTCGACGAGGGCGGAAGTAGGGGTCAGTAAAAATTTGACTTTAAAAGCAGGAAGTTGCTGCTGTTTCCTACCAGTTTGTTTCCTCGCAATGGTCAACCACAAACCTCAGAGTGTTTCACAGAATATAATAAAATGTTTTCATTTGTCGGTGATTTGTTCTGCTGAACGTGGTGTTAGATTAATTACATTTTGTCACGTAACTCTGAGAACCACTGAAGGCAAAAAGCTGCCCTACTTTTTTACTCTTACCGCTGCTCGCCTTGTTTGTAAACGTTGTCTTTTTTTATTGTGATGTGAGTTTTGAGCGACTGAGTAAGAAGTCACGCCATTATCTCCTCCGTTGTCTCTAAAACAAGCTCTCACAAATGTCATCCCGTCTCATTTTTGACTAAAACTGAAGTTACTACTGACTTTCTCTGAAGACGCCCACGCTGGCTGTAAAAGCAGAGAGGCTGTGTGTGTGCG